GCTGCAGGATGCGGTCCCTGGGCTGGACCCCAGAGGTTTCTAGGGGGGGGCCATAGCCAGGGCTGGGGGGCGAAGGTCGCTCCGTGGCCGTGCGGGGCTGCTGCGCCGTTGGGATTATTGCCCCTTAATGAAGGCGGGATATTTTTAAACTCTCCCAAAATAGTCTGGGAGTGTGGAAGTTCCTGCAAGCCCCAGGGATGGGGATGATGGGGATGATGAGGAGGATGGGAATCACTTCCCTGTAGGAAGCTCTGCTGAGAACCCCCCCTGTCCCTCAGCCCCCTCCTCACCTTTGGCCACAGGCCAAGGACACTTAAATGCGATTGGAGCTAAATGTGGTATTTTAAGGTGGGGATCCATAAGGATCGGTGACAGTAACACAAGTGCAAGGCTTTCACCTCTAAACTGAGAATTTTTTGAGGGGGAACCTGCTGGAGCTGCGACCCTGGGGCAGTGGCTTTGCTGTCCCGCAGTGAGAGCTCCCAGCTGCTGCAATGAGGGGCTGAGGAGGGAGGAAAAAATATACCTGCATCAGGGTGGGCTGCTCGTGTTAAACTACGCACCAAAAGTAAACACCGGCTGCAGGACGTGATGGGGAGACTCGAGAGCAGCCCCCTGGGTGAGCCCTGTTGCCACCCTCCTCGGGGTCCTGCAGCAGAGGCAAAATGAGATTTTTAGCCAGAAAAAGCTGTGACTGGCACACAAACGAGCAACGTGCCACGAGTAACACTTTTCTTCACCATTGACCTCTGCGTCAGTCACAGCGGGGCTTGTCTCTGTCTGCAGCCCTGTGGCTGGAAGGGACGTTTTTTGGTGAGGAGGGGTCGCTGTACTTCATTTTCCTCGCCATGGGCTCCCCAGATGAAGCCCAGGCTGGTTTATGGCTCCTTGAACCCAGGACGGGTGTTGCCCGGGCTGCTTGATGCCTCTCTCCCTGGGGGGGGTTTCAAAGGGACCGACCCCGTAAAAGTCTCTACTGGTGGCCACGCTCAGGGGTAGAAAAGCCCCTTCCCCATGGCTGGGCTGAAGGGCACTGAGATTTGCCAGCGTTACAGCCGTAAACCCCACTTTTTAAGGGGAAAAAATAATAACAGCACATCAACACACTTGACCCAGCCACGCAAAGCTGTTTCCCTCCCTGGGGTGGGGACCATTCCTCTGGGACATCGCAAGGAGGATGCCTGAGAGCAGGGAGAGCAAAGCCTGTCTGTCCCCAGGGCAACCAGGCATCCTTCGCGGGCTGAGTCGTGACAGAGCTGGGCATCTCCA